TAAAATTAAATTATTTGGTTATTCCGTCAAATCACAATGTATTTAAAATAAGATAATTAAAATAAAATAAAATAATTAAAATATCATTCTTTGTTCCATATCGAATAATCGTTCCAATTGTAAATCGATTATTCGATATGGAACAAAGAATGATATTTTAATTATTTTATTTTATTTTAATTATCTTATTTTAAATACATTGTGATTTGACGGAATAACCAAATAATTTAATTTTAGTATCTCTTTATGGAACCCGAAGTTTCATCACCGTGTTCACAAAAGCCTGCAAGCCAGATTAATTAAGCCCACGTCCTCCAAACTTATTTTCCCCCGAGTTCCATTTTAGTATTATCATCCATCTACGTCTATTTGTTTCTGATTGGTCTCTTCTGTTCAGATTTTCCAACCAAAATTGAGCCTGCGTATTTCATCTGTCTTTAAAGTCTCTGAAATAAATTAAATTTCAGTGTAACATCAAAACGTCCAGTCACGTAATTTATTACACTTATTTTTCTGTCATTGATTCGATAATATTACATCTGAGATAAGCATCAGCGTTAGGGTTTTTTTCCAAAATTTTCATTGTAATTGTTTAATTTTAACCGTCTAATCACAATAAAATATTTTATTAAATATTAAAATATTATTATTACAATTAACATTTAATATTTAAAATATATTAAAATGATGCTCTTTCTATCGAAATGTTCGATTTACAATTAGAGCATCATCTTTTTCACGACATGTTTCGGTTTACAATGAACCATCTTCAGGTGTATAATCAAATATATAAATTTAAATGTAATATTCTAAATGCAATCCTTCGTCAGATGTCCATTAAATATCGGAAAGTTATCCTCTTCTAGATCAATTGTACTTTGTTATCATTATCATCTCTTAAAATTGTCATATTAATTTCAGTATTTCGCTTTGAAATTTAAATTTTCTCGTAAATTAGTAGGTAGAAAATAATGCTATTGGGATTGATTTAATTCTAAAGTACGACTTGCTGTATCCTAATACGAAGACGCACTGTCAGTACGTATTGATTAAGTGTAAGAAGGATTCTTAGAACACAAATTACAGTAATTTCTTTATTGTAGCCTGTAGATATTTTACGTCACGTGTCGTAGTGATCATTATCACCTTGGTAACGCGGCATACAGAACGTAGTCAAGCCAGTTCTGACCATCATCAGACAACAGTTACATTTTTGCCTTGGAAGTGTTAGCTCTGAGATCGAATCGTGCTTTGGGACCTCTACGCCGTGTTGATAAGACGCCGCTAAGTCAAAGTTCGGACGTCGCCAGGCACTGCTAATACATAACCCGCAGTTTGATGATACTGACATGGCAGTAAGGACGATTTGGGTAATAGTTTTCTGGATTCTGACTCTGTTCAGAGTTGTAGGTGGTAACGAGCAATTTGGAGGGGCGTATGGCCTCCATCTTGAGGGTTGAAGTCAGTCAAGACGGGAATATAATGGGCTATCACGCGACAAATGTGACATCTATATAACTTGTCGTCCATCGCGATGTACTTCGGACGTTTCTACGTCGTAATGTTGCGACAGAAATGTACTTGGAAGGGGGAGGATTCACGCATGCATGAACAGTTCATGCACCGTAGCGGCGAACATGTAAATAAATATGTGGAATTGTTAAGCGGAGCGCCGCACGTCTCGTCCTGATTCAGGAATGGCCAATATTCGGACTAAGAGACCGTGGGAATGGCGGCCAATCGCCACTGAAATTCTGAACGTCAAGACATTTGTCTCAAAAATTGTAATATTGTTAGTGTTCCGAAGGATTCTGCCCTGAAAAGGTAAAATTAACGTCTGTTGCTTGATATTCTCGAGGCGGTGAGTATGGGCTCTACCCTGTCCATAGGTAGAGGCTGATGTTTCGGAGGGAATTACTGCTTCTATCTTCAGGGATGAAATCAGATGACCAAAACCGATATCTTCACCGCTGTGAGAACCTGAAATCTCATTCACGTGTTCTTGTCTTTTGTTGCAGTCGCTTATTTTAAGGGTAAATCGCCACTGGAGTACGCCACTGTCGTCTTCGTCGAAATACGATACCGGCTGCAGCAATGAACGGTGTGAATGGAGTAAATGGTCACGGAGACCTCAATGGTGGAGGAAGCGAACTGATCTCACAGAATTTGCCAAAGGGCTGTTGGACGATCGGGCTCATTAACTCCAAGTTTCGCTATCTTACTGCCGAGACTTTCGGCTTCAAGATTAATGGCAACGGCGCCTCTCTGAAGAAGAAACAGGTCTGGACAATGGAGCCGACTTCCGCCACTGGAAACGAGTCTACGATCTACCTGAGGTCGCATCTGGACAAATATCTGGCTGTGGACTCCTTCGGTAACGTTACGTGTGAAAGCGAGGAACGGGACCCTGGCTCCAAGTTCCAGATCTCGGTCGCCGACGACGGGACTGGTCGCTGGGCGCTTCGTAACGTGGCACGCGGTTACTACCTGGGGGCTTCGGCGGACAAGCTGACGTGCACTGCCAAGGTGCCAGGAGACGCGGAGCTGTGGCACGTGCACCTCGCAGCCCGACCTCAGGTGAGTGCCGGAATCCACGAAGATCTTATCAGTTTTGTCGTTTTAGGTTAGGTTTCTGTCTGAAGATTATATTTTCTTCTGAGATTCTGCGCCATGTACAGTTGAAGATTGCTGTCATCTGGCGCCCTGATGAAGGAGGCAGCAAGGACCTCTAAAACGTCGGTAAACTTCTACCAGAAGACAGCAATTTTCAGACTCACCGCCGGGAAAACCTCAAATTCTTTACAGTACAGTTGATATTCGTAATGGTGAAGTGCTGTGTTTTCTTCGCGGTACGGACTGAATTCATAAGAACTATTTACGTGAGCTTCGGCTTCAAAGGGTTATCGCCAGTTCTCTCTGACGTCAATTCCCGTTGCTTTAAAGATTACCACGTACAGTCTCCATGATTTAAAGGGTTGCTGCTTCCCACGTGACTGGATCCCCGTCGTAGGTGCTGTTTTGTGATTCTTATTTGCGAGTCTCGATTTTGCAGGTGAATCTGCGATCCGTGGGTCGCAAGCGATTTGCGCATCTGTCGGAGAACCTGGATGAGATCCACGTGGATGCGAACATTCCATGGGGCGAGGACACGCTGTTCACACTGGAGTTCCGCATTGACGAATCGGGCAAATACGCTCTGCACACGTGCAATAACAAGTACCTTAGTCGAGAGGGCAAGTTGGTGGACACGTGTAACCCCAATTGCCTCTTCTCGGCCGAGTATCACAGCGGTCAGTTGGCGCTTCGTGACTGCCAGGGCGGATACCTGAGCCCCATCGGCTCCAAGGCCGTGCTCAAGTCGCGATCCTTGACCGTCACGAAGGACGAGCTGTTCTCCCTGGAGGACTCCCTGCCTCAGGCGAGCTTCGTGGCAGCCCTCAACGGACGCTACGTGTCAGTCAAGCAAGGTAAGGTGGGCCACGACATTCGTGAATTTCTTTGTAAGTATTTGAGGTGAGATCAAAATACATCGCGAGAACTCACTTTTCTCGTAATATTTGTGACGTAATTGCCTTTCTTGCAGAGAACAATGTAAGAAATAGCACGAAATAACATTTCTGTTTTCTTCGATTTTTATTATTTAGTGTTCTGTCTGACGACAGGTCCATATGAACAGGATCCTTCCATCCTTTTCTCGGACTGGGACCTGTTCATATACGTTCTTGGCAGATGATCCAGAAGTGGTTTGCCATTGCCTTCTTCTGTGTGTGAATGGAGTAATTGTTGGGATGCCACGGAGGAAAACTCCGTGTTGCCTAGACCACGGCCTTGCCCAACACAAGTTATAAATTCGGGCACCGCCGGGAATCGAACCCGAGACCCCAGGATTACAAGGCCAGCGTTCTAACCGCTCGATATCATTGGGTTATGGACAGTTTTGTTCGATTACCTCTTAACCAGTCCAGCGGTCCTCTTTTTTTAGTTACGTGGTGCCTCAGACTGCCTGCTCATTTCCGTGGATCATTGCACGTTTCTGGAATTACATTTTCTCACTCAGACGATCATGAAGATGGCCGTCTTTTCGGTTGTCTACGCCTTATAGTCCGTTAGAATTTTACCGACGTTTCAGAGATGTTTTCTGCCTCCGTCATCAGGAGGTTGAGGTTGAGGCTGAGAGGCAGGAAAATATATTTCTTCATTGGAGCTGAAGTTAAGGGACATTGCGTTCCTCTGGAACGTTGGCGCACAGCCAAAAAATTGCTACACGGTTCAAAAAACGCAGAAGAAATCGAAGATGTTCTCGTCGCCATGGAAACTTTTAAGTTTTCTCATTATTTGTCATCCGGCAGTCAGTGGAGGTTGTAGCTTCGCCACAGTTTACGCTATGGCGGGGACATTGTCCCGAGGAGTCACCGCCCTCTGCAGTCTGGATCGATACAGCAATGCGGCAGCTGGAGTTCCCGTTGCCATGGCACCGCGACGTCCCGTAGATGCTCCTTCACTGCTCCAGCTTCCAGAGTGGATTTCGAGAACACTCACGGCGATAATTGCTCTCTCTTACCCGTTGAAGCCAATTTGAATAATCTTTAAATAATATTACCAACTGCTTTAAACAATCAATAGCTCTTCGTGTTCTCACGATTCTCGCTGTAAAACATCGATTATTTCCTTAAACAGCGTTAACCAGTCGATCTTTGTAATGGTGAAGTGTAGTGTTTTCTTCGCGGTACGGACCGAATTATTAAATAATATTTAGACGAGCTTCGGCTTCAAAGGGTTGATATCCTAAAGAGAGACTTGAAATGGTGACTGATGCTTTTTGAACTTAGTGTTTCGCTAATGACATTGAAGCATAAACCTTTGACTCATAGATAATTCTGTTATGAAAGGCGAAAGTCATAAAAAAACGAGAGACTGCTTGTGAGAAATCCTAAAATAGCGACTGGTTGAGCAACAGCTGTTTCTCCGTGAATGTTTAGAAATCGTCTCTCTCCTCCGGAAATATTTACAGAGTGATTCGGAAAGTCCTAACCACTGCGACGTCTTGATGTTTCGTTCAATGTCCTTGAGGCTTGGGGAAATTGACACAGACCGACCACGTCGAGTTCTGAAGATGGCTGTCTTCTGTGATGTCTGGTAGAAGTTTGCCGACTTTTCAGAGGTGCTTACTGCCTCTGAAACTTCGGTCAATATCTATAATGCTCGGTGCTGTGAGAACGTCAAATCTCAGCGGGTAATTTTTTGATCAGCTGTGTGACTATCAGCTGTTGAACGATGTTCATGCTCCACGGAGTGAAATGTGTTTTCAGAGGGAATTTCTGGAATGCATTTTTGGCGTCGGCCTGAGTGACCACTTCACCTCATCACCGCGTTCATTGTACTGAGCCGAGTTCTCGGTATCATGTAGCGCGTTTTGAAACAGCCTGTAGTCCAGCGGGTAATTTTTTGATCAGCTGTGTGACTATCAGCTGTTGAACGATGTTCATGCTCCACGGAGTGAAATGTGTTTTCAGAAGGAATTTCTGGAATGCATTTTTGGCGCCAGCCTGAGTGACCACTTGACCTCATCACCGCGTTCATTGTACTGAGCCGAGTTCTCGGTATCATGTAGCGCGTTTTGAAACAGCCTGTAGTCTGAGTCCTCCCAGCCCCGGTTTTTTTTTATCAGCAAAGAAATTTTGTGAGGGGGGTGATCAGTTTGGATGCGTCTGTGTTGTTCAGCGAATATCGAAATGCAATTGGGGAGATTTACAATTTACGTATTTATTAAGACAGAGGTGATATTTTCTTGGTTGTTAGAGCATTTTTGTTGTCCTTTCGACGCCAAAGATTAATTTACGTATTCACAGAAGACCTCAATTGGACGTTTGCTTCAGTAAGCCGAATCCGGCTCACATATTCAGATGTCTGCTATTTTCTTTTAAAAAAAAAACTACTTAGTTTTCTGAAATTTTATGACCGAAATTTTGTGTTGTGAGTTTAAAAGGATGAAGAAGAATTCGCGGATATTTTCGATAAATTTCTGTATAATCGTTAAAGCGAAAATTTATGCCTCGAAGTGAATTGTGTGGGAGTTCAGGATGCTGAAGTAAGTGGCACTGATTCTCTGCTTAGCCCAGTGTGTTTACCCAGGCACTCTAAATTTGCTTTGACTGTACTAAGGAACACACGTGATCACAGAAACAAAAGAAGACGGACTAGCGATTCTGCTGGGTTTTTTTTTTTTCAATTCCTCCTTGGGGGAGTGACTTCAGTGCGATCTCTTCCGAGGAATGGCTGTTTTAACCCTGGGATCGTAGGTTCGAGTCCCACTCGAGGCATAGATGCTTGGATGTTCGTCCGCGTCTTTTCATGTCATAACGGAGACGGGTATTTTGATGTCTTGCTGTTATATTGCGCTGTTGTCTTATAAAATTGTCTCGACGTTTCAGCATCTTTTGCTGCCTCTATCATCAGGGAGATGAGTAAGTATTTACGATCGTTTTACATGAATTTCCTAGCAAGATGCAAAAACTCACCTTGTATTTGAAAAAAAACATTAGCAGCCGATTAGTCATCGCCCTGATGATGGAGGCAGCAATCACCTCCGAAACGTCGCAGTTCTGATTCATGGCCGTGCAGCTGGTGTGCAAGCCAAGAGATGCATCGTCCACCCACGATGTGTTTTTGTTTCGTTGTCCCCCACATTCGCGCTGCAGATTACAGCGTCTCTCGCTTCTGATCTATCTGGTGTTCATCTGTGTCCTCTCTGGCCCTCGCCAGCCGCTGGTGTTAACGTCAATAAAAACCGCGGTTAGGGAAACCAAAGCCTTATGGGGAAAATGGGGGTAAGGGAAACCGCGGGCGATGGTAACACTTATCAAAGCGGTCCCAAACTTTTGCTTCACGTAACACAAAAGAATTGGCTATTTAGAAAGAAAATCAGGGGAAAATATTGTTAGAGAAGTGTCGACAGAGAAACGCCTTGCGTGGCTGAAGATGTTTTAACTGCCGTCAGGTGTAAATGCTGAACTAATTATGTGGAAAGCGACGATTTTGACGTAGTGTAGACACAAGTTAGCCACATCGAACTGGAAATCAGTTTCCGCTGTTGTTTCCCGTGATCTCCTATTTTATTGGGGTAAAAAGTTAAAATTTGTTGCCGTGAACTTACAGAACCGGCGAAGGCCCTGGTCCCACCGCCTTAATTGAACGAGGGCGTGGGCTATAAAACGCTTCGGGCCACTTCAAGGAAGCCTTTAATAAATGTGAGTGATTTAAACGTGTGGATGTTCGAAGCTTGGTTAACCGCCTCAAATCACGCTTTAACACAGTGACTTTTGCTGATGATTGCCCTGTGCACTTGTAGGTATACCAACGTTTCGGAGGGACATACTGCCTCCATCTTCAGGGCTGAAGCGTTGGTACTTAACCTATAAATCCATAAGCTCAGAAGTCATATAGAACTCGTGTTTGGGAGTGCCTTAACGTGCAAGGGGTAACACGACGACCGGGATTTGGACTCCGTCATTCCATTGTTCGACTTGTATATGTCGTTTTGTCCTCGTGATGTCGTATGAAAGGGAATTAATTTCATCGTCATCAATTCTTTTTTAAGAATGCAACGCAGTTGTTAGTTTGAAAAAAGACGTGCATTGTGAGCTCAGCCTTGGCCTATTTCATACCCAGTCGTCGTGTCTTTTAAACAAAAATAATTGACGGTCGTGATGCGTATTTCCGCCCAAACGAACAATTTCCTGGTGACATTTCACCGGTTCCGCAGACCGACGGAGTTTCTTGAAGAAACGTTTATCGATAACCTGGCACTTTGAACGTAGCTCGTGTTTCTTAACGAGAACACAGAAAATGCCTTTGTCGTCGTCTTCTCTTCCTGTTATAACCACAGTCGCTCCTTTGTGCAAAATAAGCGAGAGACAAGCGACACTGACGCGGAAGAAAAGATTTTCATACTTTACAGTCCATTTTAGATTCTTCCGACAATCGTAGCAAAACGCCGATGTAGTTTTAGAATTCAGTTCTGTTCTTTGTTGCTAATGTAATTCATCGAAGGCCGATTACAGATACAGCAGGAGAGAGGAACACAAGGACACGATAATAAACACAGTAAAGTTAAAGACTACAAAAAATTTGCTACTGAATACATCAATAGCATTGTAATAATAATTTAAATAAATTAAGTCATTTGGATTAAAATGAGAGGAAATTATGCTAAAGATACAGGGCCCTAGATCAGAGAATTTACATGATTAGAATGATAAGTCAAAGGTTAGTAGTGTAGGAGAGAGAGGGGAAAAATATATTTATTTATTTATTTAAATTAAATTATTTGGTTATTCCGTCAAATCACAATGTATTTAAAATAAGATAATTAAAATATCATTCTTTGTTCCATATCGAATAATCGATTTACAATTGGAACAGTTACAACATGTTTCGGTTTTATTAAACCATCATCAGGTGTAAAATT